TATATATATATATATATATATAAGAAAATGATCATTTGAGCTAGTGGGCTCACAAATAAAAATGAGCCCAACGGTTTAGATTGAATATGGGCCGATCTAATGATTTGGTAATGTTTGAATTTTAATTTTTTTTCTATAAATCCAAACCACTTGAAATTTTAGGCGCGTGTTCATAAAAAACAAGTGAATCTTTGACAAATATCAAAAAATTATTTTATATGAAAAATTTAACCAAAATACCCCAGTAAATGGTCAAGACCTCATTTCGTATTTGAATTTTTATTTTTTTATGCAAATTCAAATCACTTAAAATTTTTAACATCTATTATTCAAAAATAGGAGAATTTAATTAAAAATATAAAATAAATCATTTGTAAAATATAAATTGATTAAAATACCCCTAAAAATTTTCAAAAGTATTTTGATCAATTTTTATTTTACGAATTATTTCTTTAAGATTTTTATAGGGTGTGCTTTGTTAAGAAAAATGAACGCTTAAAATTTCAAGTGATTTGGATTTATAAAAAAAGAATTCAAATACAAAATGAGGTTTTGACCGTCAGATCGGCCTAGATTGAATTTGGGCCGTGGGTTGACACTGAAGCAGTCAGCTCATGGATTGACATAATCCATTCCCATTCATATATATATATTATTTTTATTTATTTATTTGCTAGTGCGCCCCTCCAAGAAAATAGGACGTTAAAATTTCAACTAAAAAAAAGAGAGCTTTGAGAAAAAAAATAAAAATTAAACTTATTAGAATATAAATTAGGAAAAGTATACGATCATTTATCTTTGGTACAAAGTGGTCACAATTAATCTTAACCATTGGATGTGAAAATTAGATGGCAGCATTTATTCTAATGACCAAGCTCAAACTTTAAGAGAAATTTTTCTAGAACTTTGTGACACACGCAAGCTTTCAAATTTCACTTCGGGGATTGTTGTACATAATTGTGACCACTTTATATAAAAGATAAATGATCTCATTGTATACAATCTTTATAAATTATAACATGAGTAATCATTCATATCCAATGGTTGAGAAGTGGGTCCCATATAAATTTTAAGATTGTATACAATGAGATTATTTACTTTGGTACAAGGTGATCACAATTAACTATAATCATCTCGGGTCAAATTTGATAGCTTGGATGTATCACAATCATCAAAAAAAATTTCTTTTGAGGTTTGAGTTTAATAATAAAATAATTACAGCCATCCAATTTTACATCCAATGGTCTAAGATTGATGGGATACCTTCTCCTAAAGGTAAATGGTCTGATTCTACACTTTCCCATAAATTATACGCGTTAAAATTGCACCGTGGTGCTCGACATGCAGCGCTCGTCGACTAAGATTCTTTGACTGAAACAAAAAAAAAAGAAAAAAAAAAGGGCAATTCAGGGAAAATATTGCTCTCAAAGTCTGAAGGAAATATTCCCAGACCCGTTGCTTCGAAGTCTTAAAGGTTGTTAATGCCGACTCTCTATTCTTGATTATGGCCTCTCTCTGCCACTGCAACTATCAACTGGATCGAAGTTGCAAAAATTTTCAATTACCAATTACGGTCGCCTTTTACATGCTCTGCTTCCTCCGAAGGTATATGCACTTGATCAGTTTTGTTTGCTTAGGTTTTCTGAGAATTATCTTTCATCTGAGAAATCTGCTGGATTTTGTTTTCTTTACTTCTAAAACTGTCGCCTCTCTGCGATTTTGTCATTGCATTGAAGAATTAGATGCTTCTGCCTGTGATTTTCACAGTGAAAACAATTTCTTATGGATGATTTCAACTCTAAGTCGATCTATTCATTGAAAATTACTGCTCAGAAAGGAAAGAAAGAAATTTCAACTTAAATAAGAGGGAAAGATCGGCTCTAATTGTTGTTTTTGTTCTTTGTGCTGGACTATCCCAAGTCCTTCTCTGTATCATTTAGTCGTCTTACAATGCTTTACTTGGATTTTGTGAATTTGCTTTTGTTTTCAATTAGAAATTCCGCACTAGAGAATGATTGCATGAATTGATTTCAGAAATTGTCGGTGAAGGGTTCATGGTATTTGTGGACATTTAACTGTACCACTTTCAGTGACAAAACAAAATGGTTCTGTTTTACTGTTAGGATCTCAATACACAATGAGAAAATAAATGGCTGAAAGCTGAGAATTACAATAAAACTCATTAAAAGTTTTGCCTCTTCAAGGGTGCAGACCTTCATACAAACTACTTGGACATGGCTAATCCTCCTTAGTGTTTTTTTTTCTTTTTTTTTTCTTGTGTATTTTGTTTTTAATTTACTCCTTTTTATGTGCTACTTTCTCCATATTTATTCTTTTTGCCTTTCGAAACCATCCCTATCTTCCGACCCAATCAAAATGACCTACCTTCTGAGCATCAAAACTTCCTAACAAACTACCACATCATAAATCCCTATAAACCAAAAATCCCTATTAACTAGGAAAATCAACCCATTAATCACTGTTTTCTATTCCAGTAGATTTCATACCTGCTAGAATCCTTAATCTCCAAGTTCGTATCAAACGACCCCTAAAAAACAATCTTGTCCTCTAGATTTATTTTTCCTTTGTCCCCAGTTGCCATTCCAATTCCATAGGGTTGTTATCTTCTTCATGATTCTTACTTTTTGTGATGCCACTTTGCTTGTGTGGGCTTTCTACTTCTAGTACTCCGTACAGATCTCTTGCAACTGCACCTTCCTCAATCACTTATGCAGCTTTCTCCCTTCGTACTTCCATTTCTTTCCAGAGAGTTCTATATCCTCACGTTCTTCTTTCTCTTCTTCAACTTCTTTATATGTTGGGATCTCGCTTTGACCATCCATATTGTTAGCTCCATAGAACCAATGGTATTCATGGTACATGTAGGCATGACCCATCTACATATTGAGGCAACTATCTCTCTTATGAATTGCAACACATAACGTGCTCCATCAGTGTGTTTGAGCGTGGCAATCAAAGAATTGATAGTTGTCAAGATTTGCCTTTGATCGGTGATGTTTTCCTTGATCTACTCTATGCCTTGTTTTATTTCCCCCATTGCAGTCACAGCCAATTGAAACGGCCTAGTATTTGGCTCTGATACCAAATGTTACGATCCCACTAACCACTAAGAGGATAAATGCCTAAACTGAGAAATACAGTAAAATTCATTAAAAGGGTGCCTTTTTGGTTGGCAAACTTCCATACAAGTCCCTTTGAGGGGGCTGGTCCTCCTTGGGTTCTTTGGACTTCTATTTTTTTTTCCAAGCTCCTTTTTTATATGTGCTACTCTCTCCCCATTTTGTTTCTTCCTGCCTTTGGAAACCTTCCTTATCTTCCAAGACAATCAAAACAACTGAGCCTCTAAACATTCCAACTTCCTAACAACCAACCCCAATATAAATCCCAATTAAAACCAAACCATAAAATAAATTCAAATGTTACCTAATTTTGTTCTCACCATTCTACTGGATTTCTTACCATCTAGGATCTCTAATATACATTAGGGGCGTATTTTTTATAGAGGAAAACAAGACTGATCCAGACTTCAATAGAATAGGGTTAGATTGAATTAGATTCAATTGCACATTTGTATCTGTGAAAGTGCATTGTCACATCACCTTATGACTTGCTTTTGACTAATTATGGACATGAAAATGACCCGTCAATGATTATTAACTTTCTAAAAAAGCCTGTCAATGATTGTTATTGACTGTGGCCAATAATTACTTCCATATCTCTATCCTTGTGCTTCTTAGCTACCCTCCTTTGTAGATTCCTTTAAGGAAGATGTACTATAGGCATTATAACTTGTAAGATGATTCAACCAATTTAACTATCGAGATAATTACTCTCTCTAGCTTATTACCTCAACCTTCATGGAAAAAGTTGCATTTGGGTTTGAAAGAAGTGGCGCCAACGGATGTTTTAAACAACAGACCTGCTCGGCAAGGAGGCATGCCCTAGTTTGGGTCAATTCAGTGAGTCCCACGTTTATTTGGCGAGTTTTTCCCTGTTCTGAAAAAAAAAACAAAAGCAAAAAAAAAAAGGCCCAAAAAAGGAAAAATAGGGAAAATTCAGAAAAAATAAAAAGGAAGAATCATAAACATTTGGAAAAATTATACAAGATGGAGAAATGATAGTGTTGTAGTTCATATGAAATGCCAATTTCCACATTTGTACACGTATAAAAGTATTTTGTGTATCAATGTAAAAGAACTAATCATTTTCTTTTGAGAGAATGCAATAAAAATACAAGATTAAAGAAGATATAACTAGATATAGTGAACTTTGTCTAAAATCAATGTTTATAGGACTTCAAATTGAACCCAATTTTGCTTACCGAAAGTTTTAAAGTTGACACTCCCAAATATATGTCTTGTAAGAATAAAGGCCTCCAATCCTTGGAAATTGATCCTCAAATGCCCCAAATTGGAACCCTAAAAATAAAGTTAAGATTGGACTTAGATCTACTTGATCTTAAGATTTGAGCCCAAATTTTTTTGTCAAACCCTAAATCGAAAATCAAAATCTTGAGTTTGAGAGATTTTGAAGTTTTTTGTTGAATCCAAGGTTTCAATCAGTCAGAGGGTGCAGAAATACCCCAAATGAAAATTTTCAGCGCCTATGAAGCTTTGAAGGGGAAGAAAGTGTGGACAAAATAGGGTCTGGTTTCCATTTCCCTTGTATTTAAACTATTTTGTTGGGCTTGGCAAGTCCTGCTGGACTTGATCCAGATATGTTGGGCTTGGCAAGTCCTACTGGACTTGATCCAGACTTAGGGACTCACTGAGTCTATTAAACTGTCCATGTCAGAATAATGACCCCTCTAGTTAATGTTTTTGCTATTGGAGACTTCTCCATCGGAGTACTTCTTGGGGAATGAAGTGACCCTTTCCTTGAGAGGGTATATCACAATTGAATCATACATTGGTTCTACTGTAAAGTACCTGGAAGTTGGGGCCTGAACTAAGAGATTCAAGCATTCAACTGTTCTGCTAAAGCAACGTCTAGGTCAAATTGAGGGAGAACATTTAATGACCCAGCTGCCTATTAGTGTTTGGGAAGTGAGCTCTTAATGATCACTGTGTAGACTTGGTATATGTTGTTGGTTTGGGTAAGTTTATTTACGTCTTCTTTTCTCTTGGAAAGGGGACCATTATTATTCATCATCATTTACTTTGCTCATTGTCCATTTCCATGGGACTTCTTCACCTAGAGATAGATAATTAGCTTCTGACTGCTCCACCAATTTTGTGGGACAAGTTGCATGGAACAATGAGCAGTATGTGGTGCAACCAGGGTTATCAATACCGGACCTCACTGGCCAGTTCTGAATGAGAAACTGGTGCCCTAACGGGGTTAGGGGTCCCCACCCGGGGAGCACTTGGCTGCTCAAAAGACTGTCAAAATAGGTCTAAACTTGTCAGTTTAGATTAATTGAATTTGCTGGTTCAGACGGCTAACTAATTTGATTTCCTTTGTGTTTTTCGTTTATATTTTCAGCCTGCTCTTAGTTTAATAAGGGTGAGGACCTTAAAATTTCCCTTAACCCGTCCCAAGCCCGGGTAAAGGAGGTAGGTTGTGTTAGGTAGCCAGCCAGTGTAAAACTTTGCCACATCTTATCATAAATCCTCAACCGTTAGAGAAGAGTGGAAGAACATGACTCTTATAGCCGACCCCAAATAATTGGGATAAGGCTTGGATATCAACCATCGATGAACTGATCGGATTAACCAAACAAAGTTTACTTCAATCATTATATATTGAACAGAGGCATAGCAAAAGGTCATAGCAAAACCTGTAGCTACTTGTACTAAAAAACAAGTAAGTGTGATTCCCACTAAACAATGAAATGTGTTGACATGAGGAGGAACATATTTACTAGTTACAGCCTGGTCTTATTGGTGAACGGCTTGTATGACCAGTTTGGACCTGGCTGTTTCTCTCCTTGTTTGATGATGAGTCCGGTCCTTATAACACGCTGCCACTATGTGCTTAATATTGAAATGCTCGTCCTGTAGTATCAGACGCCCCATGGCTTCATGTACTTCGGTCAAGGAGGGGGACCTGTGGGATCCTCACTTACCAATAAAAAAAGTTTGAAGAGAAAGAAGGATTATACAATCACATGTTAGTTTTGTTAAAATAGCACACTCTCCTAGTAGAAAGTATTTCAGGCCGACATATCACTATTGGTAGTACTTCTTGGTTCAGTGCCCCTTGCCCCTTAGGCATGTAGGGCCTTTATGGGTGAGTGCATGATGGACCAATGTGGGCTAGAGAGACTGCTTCGTGCCTTGGTGTGTGGAAAAAGCCGTGATTTTAATGGGCGCACTTGAGCCATCTTCATGACCTGCCATGTGGCACAAACTATTTGGGACATCTAGTCTGTGGCACAACCTGGATCTCCAGATAGACAAACCACCTAGAACAGTAATCTGCTCTGCTTAGCGCCCATTCTTGGTATGGTTATGCATGTGGATAGCATGGAGCCTCCAGGTTCCATGACCATAGCCACGTAGTTTGGTTATTGAAGGATGAAACTGTAGGGCCTGATCTAGTAGCTGGGATCATGTGCACAGTATACTCCTCAATTATGAGGT